ATTTCATGAAAGAGCCCTCAATGCCCAGGTCTCTTCAATAAACAACTTATTGTATCCTGAGAAATTACCTAGTCTAAATAAGCTCTTAACAGTAGCCACATCATAATTGACTGGCTAAATCCTATAATCTGAAAGCCCGACCCGGGTGAGAGCAACGCCGATTTCTCTAATCAGTCCGAGTCTGAGACAACAGATGCCCTCAAGCTGGGACACGCTAAAGGAATCTGTGCCCGAGACGAGAGACATTTTCTACTCAGACTTCACTAAAGAACATCTCAAATGATGGAATGACCTATCAGCTCACTAACATCACTCGCATTTAATGCATGGACAGTCGGCGCCTATACTTTCCCGCCCAGTCACTATCGCATTAACTGCATAGTCAGAGTCATTATGGCCTCTCGAGCTCATAATAACTCTTCAAACGACACCAGCACTTCAGTCATTTTGTCACTGTCACGCTAAATACAGAGATAACTCATTCAACCGATTGCCGACATGCGTAAAGTGTAGTCTGACCAGCTGACTGCACCGACCCGATTACCAATGTACAACACATTCTCTATAAATAGTGGACAACCCCACTACACTAAGGTATGCTTATAAAAACCCAAAAAACTAAATTCTGCATTTTGTAAGCTTGCTTAATCCATCGCTTACTTGAACATTACACCTTATTTGGATGGAGGTTAATGGATGAAAGTTAAAGTGAAATTCCAATTTCACCTTGTTTGGGAGTCTTTTTGAGAGGTTAGAGGATGGAATGGAAGGTTAAATTTCCTTTCATTTTTCTCCCCTCCAATTTGGGGGTAGAGGATAGAATAAAAACCAATGTAAAATTTTACAATATGATAAGATAATTATACCCTTATGACATTAAAATCAATAGCTAAGATATACTCCCATCCAATATGTAAGGGTATTTATGTAACTTTATACATATTCACTTCATTTCTCTCCTCTTCATTAGAACTCCCAAACAAGGTAAAACAAATTTGCTTCCGCTCCCCTTACTAAACCCCCAAACAACATTTTATCTTTTCACATTTCCATTATTTAACTTTCCGTCCCTTCCCTTAGGGGCTATTTGGTTGTATGTTTTTACCATGTAAAAGGATGGAAAGTGTAAAAAAATGGGTCCCAATGTCAGCTTTCATCACTTTCAATTGTTTGCTTGTAGTTGTGAAAATAGTGTAAAGTGATTTCATATGCTGATGTGGCTTGTAAAGCGATTTCATAAAAAAAAAGACATGATTTTAGGAGAAAGCTGACATTGAAGTCAGGAAAAAATAATAAAAAATAATTCCAACCGATATGATCATTTGAGTAGGGACCATTTTTTATACTTTCCAAATAAACATTCAAAGTTATATTTGCAAACCAAATAAGCAATTTATGATTCCAATGGAATAAAAAACAAACAAAGAAAAATATAAAAGTAAAATTGATGATGTGGACAACAACTTTCCAACTTGTGTCATAAATACACAACTTTACCAACAACAACCAAACACCCCCTTAGTAAACTCCCTAACAAAGCATTAGAGGACACACTAGGAAAAAACCTCCTCCGGGTCTCTAACGAGTGCTACTTGTGTGCAAGAATTTGCTTCCCCTGACTAATCACCCATTAGGAAAGATTAAGGAACCCTAAACTCCTACAAATATTCATCCACCCATACAATTAACTTTCTGACATAAACACAGCTCAGAGACTCAGATCAGCCCATCAATCTTACATAACAAAAGGAGCTAAGGCCAAACAGATATCTTTCTTTCTCTCTTTCTCTCTTTCTCCCCCTTTGTATCTGCAGAAAATACCAAAATGGCTGCAAGCCTGCCTCGCCATTGGAGCATGTTGCAAATAGAATGGTGAAAAAAAATAAGGCTAAATTGCACTTAAATACCACATACTTTCCAAGAAAAAAGGGAAAATTGCTTCAAGGACCCTGGCTAACAAAGAAAAAATGCTTTCCGAAAAAATAATAACGAAAGCAACTTGGGTTTTCCAAAATAAACCCTAAAGCGGGCAAATCATCATCGTCTCTGTGAATGGAGAGGAGAAATGCGAAAGATAACAGGGTCTAATATGACAAAAGAAAAAAAATCATATAGATGGCCTACAGAAAATTAGACCGCTGAGTGGAATTCCCCTGAGATCGAACCGCGAAAAAGCCCTAATTACGGTGATGAGCTTCAGAGGAGGGAGAAGACAGGAAAGTTTCTTCTTTTTCTTTTTTTCCTTTCTTTTTTTTTTCACCCCTACTCATGAACCGCCGTTTTTTCAGCGTTTTCATTGTGTTTCGCATTTTGTTCAGCTTTTTGGGAGGAGGTGTCCAGTACATATGCGAAATTGCTGTTTGGTTCACTGTTTTTGAGGGGAAGTCATGGTTGAAAGCCTGTCAAAAATATGAACCTTGCTATTTGTCTCGCGCGTGATGCATCACGCAAGAGAGGAGGAGGGTCAGTGGGACCCACTTCACGTGGGTCCCTCTGACCCTCCTCCTCTCTTGCGTGATGCATCACGCGCGAGACAAATAGCTTTTTTGCAAAAATATTAAAAGTGTTACTTTTTGACAGACTTTCAAGTAAAATCCTTTTTTAAAGACGTTTTTGCTTAAAGCCTGCCAAAAAAGTAACACTTTTAACGGGCGTTTTTGCTTAAAGCCTGCCAAAATAGTTTTATTAACCTTGTACTTAAATAATCTCTATTTTAAAATTCAGAGGCAATGCATTTAAATATTATTATAGATAAATATCCTAAAGTTTTAAAATATTTTGCTTTGATATCCTCTTATTTACCCAATATTGTATATAAATACCCTCAATTTGTAAATGGCATAAGTTAGATACCCTAAAGTTTTTAAAAGTAACATTTTAATACCCTTTGTTATATAGTATTTATGGATATGTAGAGAAACAAAATTCTTTTTTATTTTAAAGCATTTGTTTACAATATTTAAATACTTTAAAATATTTTAAAACATTTATTACTTAGTACTAGTTTAATGAAGCTGTTGGATATTTAAGTGTAATTTAGCAGTTATTTAACTTCGTAAGTAGCATATTGATGTAAAAATTGATATCCATAATTAGCATATTGCTCAAAGAATTGATATCTTTTAAAGATGCATTTTTTTAACTAAGAAGTTCAATACAGATATAGACCGTTCAGATTGGATAATTTCTCAAAATTTTAACCCATAATTTATAATGTTTGTCAAATAAATATCAAAATTCCTTTCACAAACACCCAAGCAGACCCTCTTTTTTAATTTCAGCTTCGGTTCAAATTTTTATTCAGAGAAAATTGACGCAAAATTAAATTGTTTCTAGCATGTAAAACTCTTCTTTACTCTGATCAAATAGTAACCGCAGCAATCCTCTTCTACCAACATTGTTTAACCAAAGATCATTTATATCTTATTATCACCACGTGACTCTTTTACTAGCACTAAAATTCATAAATATGCAACAAATTCCACTGATCAACATGAACAAATTTGAGGGCAGATTCAAGAAAAGGGGCAAAAAATAAATATGAAAAAAATGGAGCACAGCGTATCCCAGCGGTAAAAACATCAAGAGGATTTCCATTTGACATTTTTATGAAGGATAAGAAACTCTGAAACATTACAGCACACCAAAGTTATGTCTGATACATTCAGACCGAGAGATCCACCATGCTAAAATTGCACACTCAAACGCCACTTCAAACGAATCCCATCTTAAATTTACAAATCGCTAACTCAAAAACCATCTTAGATTACCTTTAAGATCAGGCTGTCTCCAGGCTGAACATCCAAATCGAACAAAAAATTACACAGGCGCTGCGCGCGCAAGCACCGCAAGTATTCTCAATATGAGACCACAACCAAACAATTGACACTACCAGACATAATTTGCTTAAGAATAATTAATCGCAAAGTATCATAAACGCTGAGAACAGATATCTAAGATAATCTGCAGCAGAATTCAGGTAACCAGCCAGAATTTGCAACTATGTACATCAATTTCACATGCGAATGGAAAGGAAAAAAAATTATATGGAATATTGCCATGTATTTGGCTAATTGTAAACATTGGAATTATGATACACAGAATTTTGTTCACCACATAGAGCATTCCAAACTCTAGTATGTCAGCATTACGACATGAAGAAAAAGTTTACTTAGTTTCTAATATACATAGTTGTAACTTAATTGTCCTACTTAGTCTCAATTACTTATCCTTCATCATTCTGCTCCATTTGGCAGAGAACAGAACACGTCCGTTCGAACAAGACTCAAGAGCCAACTAAATCAAAACCTACATGCGGAATTCTGCTTTAAACCGAGAGTCTATTTTTTTGACAACCCTAACCCATAACTGAAGAAGTTAATTCCTAGTACGTGTAAATCCACGAGGGTGACAAACAGACATAATCCGTCATTCACCGCACAACATCAATGTACATAAGGACTTAACTCCTATATAAGATTAGGAAGAGTAGATACTGAACCCCAGAAACAAGGAATAGAAAAGAGGACAAAAAAATTATATCCAACACCACTGTTTTAAAAAACCTCCGCCTAGTCCGCTTAGGCGTACGCCTAGGCCTAGGCGGTACCTAGGCCGCCTAACTAGCGCCTAACGCCTAGGCGGTATTTAGGCTGTCCACCTAGATATTACGAGCGTTTAGGTGAGCATTGTCTGCTTACGTGGATTGCACCCTGTAGGCCTTGATTATGATTTTATGTGTCGTAGCCTACACGTCCTCCAAACTCCATTAACCTCCAAATATGAACACCTCCACTACCTCCTCCGACCTTCAGCAAAACCTCATTGACCACCACTTAAATGAAGAAAGAAAAAAAACGTCTAGAAACCGCTTAGGTGCCCGCGTAGGCGACTAAGCGTTGGGCGCCAAGTCCGACGCCTAGAAGCGCTCAGCGTTTAATATAACATTGTCCAACACTAATTGCAACATCTTAATCCTTAAGCATGTCATGTAAAGAACAACTTACTTACATATGCTTCTACTGTTCCGCATCCATGCTGTACTCAATTCGCAGTTAACCTTGACACTTTGTCCACATTTACTCAAGTTGATGTATGTTAATTGTCATCGAGTACTCCGCTTCAACCATGTCCTGTCCTACCACTTCTTCCCACAAGCAGGACACTCAGGCATCCACAAAGACGTTACACAGGTAGTAACAGCATCCAATCACCAATCGCAGACTCCAATCTCCATTACGGATTGCTGTTGTCATAATTCAAATGCAAAAATACACTTAGACATTAGAATCCACCTATTATGATCGTTTTGGTCATGTTTCCAAGTTCCTCCGTTAATTTAATTCATAATTCCAAGACTTGTTATGTTGTATCCTCCCAGTTAAATATAAGCATGAAGAATTTAACTTATTATCTAAGCCAAGATACGTATCACTAAAGTTAAAGCACTCAAGTGGACCTACGTATCAGATTATAATGGAAAAGAGTGGGTATCCTCACCATCATCCTTCTTTTCGTAGATATAAAGATAAAAGAAAAAAAAAACTTCCCATATATTATTTGTCTACTTTTACATTATAACTTCCACACTGAAAATTAACAACCATGCTCTTAAAAATATAATAAGATATTGGTTATAGTAGCTCCAGGTGTAATTTATTCCAATGTCAAGCTAATCGAGGGGAAAAGGAGGAAGAGAAAATGGAGCATCGAAAGCAACATAAGATCACTATGAACACCATGAATACGGTGCACAAGGATGGACACATGAACAAACAAACAACAAAGAATATATTACCCAATATATGTGATGAAGAAGTGGATATCTAAAATGAATGGGGCTGGCCTCATCGCCCACAAGCATCCTCTCCTAAGCAATAGATACTTAAAGTTTACCTTCGGCTCCTATTTCCAAGCAAAATTACCTTCCAACGTCAAAGTTTTGATATCTCAAGTGAGTTGGGAGCACTAGAAGAACCATAGAACACTCCTTCGGGGAACCCAATGGGTCTAGGTGTGAGTTGGTTGGTTTCGATTGAGTTTTTGCGTTTTAGTGGGGAAGCAATAATTGCAATGAAACATATAAATACCGAACATTAGAATACACACACACACACACATGCAAACATACAAAACAAAATATACTATACCATCGATGTATGTGATCAAGAATACCCATATAAATAAAAAGGACTGAACATATAGCTAACACATATCCCCACCTAGGCGGAAATACTTTATACTTACCACAGGTTAGTATTTCAACTAAACGCCAAGAAAACATACATAATTCACGCGATTAAATTTGATGTCTCAAACTGGCGATGTTGGCTCAACCGACTATCTCAAACATATATTTGCTAAAAAGATAACTATCCATAAATTAATATGACGTATAAAATTCTGGTACCTACTAGGTATCAACATAAAAAGATTTATACTGAGCAAGATTGTTTATTGTTATAGTTGGACAACATATGTGATTCTTTGCCTGCTGAGTTTTCCTTTCTCCCCATATTCATATCAATATTCCCCCGTCATTTGTTTAAAATCACAAAGGTTGTCCAACCATAACATAGATCATACTTCCAGCTATTGCTTTAACTATATCCTAACTCGTTTACAGGTCATTTAACTTTTAACAACAAGAGACATCAAAATTGACACACAGCATTTCACAGTTCCAGACATAGAAAGCATCCATTTCAGTATCCTCTCCTTCGCAACACAAGTCCAATTTGACCTCAACATGTTGTGGTCTTTTTAAATCAAAAGGTCTTTTGGTTTTAGAGGGTAAATCTAATTGTGAAAGACTGAAAGAAATATATGTATATTACATCCTGATATCAGTCTAATATCACGAGCATACTATTGGCACAGCAGACTAATTCTATAAAATTGATTGAGCCAACTTGCATGTAGGAACCTTTTTTTTTTGTGGGGGGGTTAAAAGTAGGAACCCATATTTGGTTATGATTCTTATGAAATGATCTTTTATGAACCGAGAGAGAATTTCTCAAAAAATCTAAACTAGGAAACTCACCATATATCAGTACGAGATTCACTGAGTTGTTCCATTAATCATCAAGGCGTGCTACAGGCTAAAGATCCAAATGAAAACAAACTCGAAGCAAACCATAGAGCTCCAAAATTTTCATTACAGGAATGTTGTCAGCCATATAGCATAGAAGGATGTCTGATTGTGATCTTGGATAATCTATAGTGGAGTCAGCTCGATATACATTTCCCAGATGACATCCTAACGACAGACTTCAACTTCATAAAACTCTCATTCTAGTTGAGATGTTTGAATGGCTGCACCGATATTTATGTTCTTACTAAAAGGAAACAAATAACTAAAACATTATTGTGGTAATATTTATGTCTATGAAAAACAAGTACTATATGACCCTCGTCAAAAACAGCATCTTTTACAGAGTACCATACCACAATTAATTGCAATCAGCCATCCACTGAAGTTTTCATGACATAGATCATATTTCAAACTGTTACTTTAACATGTCAACCAAAAATGGCATTTTTATCACAAATAACTCAAACCAAAGTATTAACTCTTGAATGAATATGGGTCATGCCTAAAGAACAAATCTATTCGTAGACATACTTTTCAGTTCAAGCATCAGTGAAGCAAAGCACTTTAACAGCTTTGATAAACAATTATTAATTCATTAAAGAAAAAAACTCATGGATTGCCAGTGAAGCATTACGGAGAACTCCATGAATTAATAACTACTTATAGTAGTGTAGGAAGATGGGTGAAATTGCTAGCATCTTTCGACAAGTTAACATGCAACATGAAAGAAACTGATCATCTAAATAAAAAGTTGACACAGTTCGTCTCTCATGCTACCACAAAAGAGCACAAATGTTTTTCCTTCCATTTTAATCTGTTTTTCATTTTACTTTCTTCTTCTACCAACTCCCCATTGGTCAACGAGAACTTACTTAAATAAATTTCACGAATTCAAAGCTTTGTACTGTTATAATTCATCGTTCTAGAGAAGGAACTTCATAATGCAAATTTAAAACCTAAGCATAAGTCAGTAAAATAAACAGAAGATACAATCACTTCCCAGTTAAATTGGAGTTACAGAAGAAAACTGAACATATATCAAGCCAAATTTAATTGACCAGATAACTATATCTCATTTCATTTATTCACCACATCTTCCTGCGGTAACCAATTCTTTTTGTTGTAAGTCAGTCGGACACACTGACTAAGAGCAACTCCAACCACAAAACTCAAATTGGTGTAGTTTTTATACCAAGTTGGTGTATTTTTTACACCAAATCACTATTCCATCTCCAACCCATTACACTAAATTTTTACACCAAAAAGAATATTCCTTTTATTATTCTTATCTTTTAACATTTTTATCTATTTAAAATATTTAACAAATTATATAATTGTATAATTATATAATACATTTAAGTGTACCAGCCCATTCTCATACATCTTTGGGCCGGGTGGGCCTAGAGAGTTAAGGTACATTTCCAACTAAAACCCTAGACTACACATAAAAATCCGCCACGAGAAGTTAGGGCCAAGCTCACCAATGCCGCCGCCTCGCGCTTCATCTCTCTCTCTCTCTCTGTAATCCCCTCATAAACCTGACTGATCTCTCAATTTCATTTAATTTTAAAAGAAATTTTGATTTTTTTTTTTTTTTTTTTGATTAATTATTTGAATCGAAATTTGAATCTAGGCACTGCAACCGGCGATTTAGACGTAAAGCAAGGTACAGAACGATTTAGACGTCCCGAGAAAATGGTATTGATTTATTTCTTCTTCTTTTAATTTTTCGATGCATTTTCTGTTTTTTGGGTGACTTTTGGTTGATTTTTTTATTTGCTGTTCTGCGACGAATCGGTTGTGCCATTCCTACAGTGTTGCGCCATTTCTGGTGCAACACTGTAGCAACGCTTTAAAATGGCGCAGGGTTTGGCGCGCGGTTGGAGGAAGTTTTGGCGTTGGATTTGCGTCAAAATGGCTTTTTGGCGTTACGTTGGAGATGCTCTAAATAAACAGATAACATGAATTAGACCCCCCAAAATCTAATAGAAAATAACAACTTTTTCCACGTTAAAAACTCAAAAACACTGAACTATTCACAAAAAAGAAGCAAATTTCCTTCATTGATATAAATTAGGAAATACATAAAGAGCAGGATGAAGAAAAGGCTATAATTTCACAACGAAACCGAACCAGATTTCTATTACTCAAATATAATACCTTCATACATTTCTTTCAGCCCGAACCACTCATCAGTCACTGCCCTTCTCAACACCGAGCCCATACAGCACGCCGGCGTACCTCTCCGTCGACCCATTAAAGAAACTCTCTTTCAGCTTCCTAAACGCACAAGCAGTCAGCAAGCTATCAGACCCAGCCTGATGACAAATCCCAACCCTCTCCACCTCCAGCAACTCCGCCAACTTATTCAGACCCCCGTGCAAGCTATTACAAAACCTCATGAGATGCTTAATATCATAAACCCTCGGGAAATACGTCCGAATCAAATCAAAGAACCCTTCTTGGCTCTCAGGCAGGCTCTTGCAAGTCAAAATCTTCAGCAAATACCCGAAATCGTACCCCGAATGGAACGTAATCCACTGGACCCCATCGTTGAGCACGACCCCAGACGACATCAGCAGCTCGCCGAACTTGACAACGTCGACGCCGAATTCCATGTTCTTCTCGAAGTCGATCCCCGACTGGCGAAGGAGGTCGATGGAATCGGAGGCGAAGACGTCGTACTGGGGGTCGAACTCGCGGAAATTGAACTGGAAGACGAAGCGGTGGTTGAGGTCGGGGTCGGAGAAAGTGAGCCCTAACTGGATGGGCTTGAGGAGGTCGACGTTGAATTTTAGGGCTTGGTAGTGGTAATCGGAGGTAGTTTTGTAGGGCCCGACGGGGCGGAGGATGACGCCGGGGAACTCCGTGTCCATGGCGATGTAGGGGTAGTCGTCGATGATGTCCCGGATCAGGGCGAACTCGGAGTCGAGGTTCGACGACCAGACCTCGCGGATCTCGATGGATTCGGGTTTGGGGAGGATTGAGGACATTTTTTCTAGGGTTAGGGTTTTGGATTTTGGTTTTTTTTTTCTTTTTTTTTAAAGGGGATAAGAACCCTAGCTCGGGTGATCGAGCTCGAGAACGGGGTTTTGTCGGGGGGACGAAGGGTGAGAGGGCGAAAGGGGAAGGTCGGTGAGATAACCGTGGCCCCAGAATTGTACCCAGGGTGGGAAGTGGGGCCCGGTAGTAGAGTGGGTTTAAAGTCGGGTCAAAGTTGGGTGCTGAACACGTGACAAAAGGAAGAAGATGGTAATAGCATGATAATTTGGGAAATGTTAATATAAATATTCATTAAAAAAGTACTATTAAAGAAAACATATTTACGAGAACAAAAATATCATAATTTTGAAGGGATGGATATATGTATCGTTTAAACGTACTTTTTTTCACTAGCAAAATTACACGTGCACGTGACAAAAATATCATAATTTTGAAGGGAGGTATAAACACTTTGAAGATACCAATATATTCATTTTATGTTTCGGAACAACAACTCAAGTGACAGGATGTGCATTCTTGCTATATATATAAGCAAACTTATGAGATATCCGGTGTATTTTTACTTGAATACAAAAGGCGTCATACATATTTTTGTATTAAATGAGGAGTAACGAAACTTTGTATATCTCAATACATTAGCATTTCCATATATGTATTCACATACTAGATAAATGTGAATATGGACATAAATATTAAAAAAGGGAAAAATATTTCTAGCCCCCAAAAGCCAAGGAAACGTGTTTTCCACCCTCAAGACTTTATCAATGGGTATTTTACCCCCAAAAATAAAGATTCTGTTCTCTGAGCCCCCAAAACACAAAGCCCAAGAGATTAAAATATGTGAAAACCATAATACTCTTCTCTCTCTTTTTCTTTTTTTATTAAAATATGATGAGGATTATTTTATTATTTTTGTTTTCTCTCTCTCTTTATCATGATGTACTGAGATGATAGTTGAAATGATTGATAAAGAATATTTTATTATTTTTGTTGTTTGTATTGGGAGATTGTTAATGTTACGGGTTAATTGTTAAGGTTACGAGTTAATTGTTAATGTTACGGGTCAATTGTTAAGGTTATTAATCCTCTCTCTCTCTCCTCTCTCTCTCTCTCTCTCTCTCTCTCTACCATGATGTTACTTTGATGATATTAAAATGATTGAAGTGTATTATTATTTTATTATTTTTATTTTTTATTTTTTTCGAATACAAAAGGCGTCATACATATTTTTGTATTAAATGAGGAGTAACGAAACTTTGTATATCTCAATACATTAGCATTTCCATATATGTATTCACATACTAGATAAATGTGAATATGGACATAAATATTAAAAAAGGGAAAAATATTTCTAGCCCCCAAAAGCCAAGGAAACGTGTTTTCCACCCTCAAGACTTTATCAATGGGTATTTTACCCCCAAAAATAAAGATTCTGTTCTCTGAGCCCCCAAAACACAAAGCCCAAGAGATTAAAATATGTGAAAACCATAATACTCTTCTCTCTCTTTTTCTTTTTTTATTAAAATATGATGAGGATTATTTTATTATTTTTGTTTTCTCTCTCTCTTTATCATGATGTACTGAGATGATAGTTGAAATGATTGATAAAGAATATTTTATTATTTTTGTTGTTTGTATTGGGAGATTGTTAATGTTACGGGTTAATTGTTAAGGTTACGAGTTAATTGTTAATGTTACGGGTCAATTGTTAAGGTTATTAATCCTCTCTCTCTCTCCTCTCTCTCTCTCTCTCTCTCTCTCTCTACCATGATGTTACTTTGATGATATTAAAATGATTGAAGTGTATTATTATTTTATTATTTTTATTTTTTATTTTTTTCATATTTTTAGAATATTCGTTGTTAAGGATAATGGTTGGTTGTAAAGGTTATGCATTATTTGTTAAGGTTACGGGTTGGTTGTTAAGGTTATGGGTTTGTTGTGTAAGTTACGGATTTATTGTTAAGGTTACGGGTTTAATTGTTAGGGTTACGTGTTTAATTGTTAAGGTTACGGGTTTAATTGTTACGGTTACGATTTAATTGTTAAGGTTACGGTTTAATTGTCAAGGTTACGGGTTTAATTGTTAAGGTTACGGGTTTAATTATTAAGGTTACGGGTTTAATTATTAAGGTTACAGTTTTAATTGTTAAGATTACGGATTTAATTGTTAAGGTTACGGTTTAATTGTTAAGGTTACGGTTTAATTGTTAAGGTTACGATTTAATTGTTAAGGTTACCAGTTTAATTGTTAAGGTTACCGGTTTAATTGTTAAGGTTACGGTTTAATTGTTAAGGTTATGGGTTTAATTGTTAAGGTTATGAGAGAGAGAGAGAGAATGGATCCATAACCTTAACAATTAACCCGTAACCTTAACAATTAAACCCGTAACATTAACAATTAAACCCGTAACCTTAACAATTGACCCGTAACCTTAACAATTAAACTCGTAACCTTAACAACTGACCCGTAACATTAACAATTAAACCCGTAACTTTAATAATTAAATTTGTAACCTTAATAATTGACCCGTAACCTTAACAATTAAACCGTAACCTTAACAATTAAACATGTAACCTTAACAATTAAACCATAACATTAACAATTAAATCTGTAACTTTAACAATTAAACTCGTAACCTTAACAATTAAACTCATAACCTTAACAATTAAACCGTAACCTTAACAATTAAACACGTAACCTTAACAATTAAACTCGTAACCGTAACAATTAAACCTGTAACCGTAACAATTAAACCTGTAACATTAACAATTAAACCGTAACCTTAATAATTAAACCATAACCGTAACAATTAAATCCGTAACCTTAACAATTAAACTCGTAACCTTAACAATTAAACCCGTAACCTTAACAACAAATCTGTAACCTACACAACAAACCCATAACCTTAACAATAAACCCGTAACCTTAACAACCAACCCGCATGATACGGGTGTATCTTCTCTTCAGAAAAGCGATTATCATGGGAGCATGAGGATAGATGATTCTCATGATATCTTGAGAATAGTGGTGTGAAGCGATACGGCGGAGCACAGGAAGGAGCGTGAAGCGAGTGGAAGAACGAAGAATCAAAGATTTCAGTTCTCAGCCTGATGAGTCGACTGACGGGTTGATGAGTCGACTGACGGTTGATGAGTCGACTGACGGGTTGATGAGTCGACTTAAGAAAACACCTCCAGATAGCAAAATGCTTCTGCTGAGTCGACTCATGAAAATCATGAGTCGACTCATGCAGGCCAGCACAGTTTGTGCATATTTTGAGTCGACCATGAGTCGACTGGTGATCATGAGTCGACTCATCTCAGTCATGAGTTGACTCATCGAGGTTTCCTGGGCAGACTTGGTTTCTATTTTGAAGGAATTCTAGTTTGGTTTGATTTTGGTTATTTACCAGATTGCCACCACGTTGTAAACCCTATAAATATGGACTGTTAGGGTTCTAAACAGGGAGGGAAAAAAGGTCAAGATGTAGATCTAAAGGATTTTAGGTCTAAGTGAGATCCTGATCAAAAGGATTAGGGTTTAGATTGTGAGGATCTATGAGATCTTAGATCAGAGAGAGATTCTAATCGTTGTATTAGGGTTTAGAGAGGATTGAGAGGTTGTTCTCGATTCTAGTGAGATTGTGAGGGAGAGATTGTAATCTTTTGTTCTTCATAATCTAGAAAAGATATTTTCCTTCGCCATACTGAATTGTCTTGTGTTTCTGTCATCCTCTTCTCAACCCACCTTTTGGTAATTCCGTGACCAAAGGGTACTCGCACGACGACTCGTAGCATCGTAACCTTAACAATCAATGCATAACCTTTACAACCAACCATTATCCTTAACAATGAATATTCTAAAAATACGAAAAGAATAAAAAACAAAAATAATAAAATAATAATCCTCTTCAATCATTTCAATATCATCAAAGTAACATCATGATAGAGAGAGAGAGAGAGAGAGGATTCATAACCTTAACAATTGACCCGTGTAGGGTGAAAACTTGATTTCCCGAAAACAGGGAGTGTTTGTTTGTATTAATAAGAAGGCTTATTACAAACTAACAAATCAAATGTTTACAACAGAAGCAGAGGGAAAGCCCTCTTTGTTTTGTGTGGGGACTTTAGGTGGCTACAGGATGCTTCGCTCGATGCTCGTGTCGAGTCCGCTTCCCTTGGACCGTTCGAATGAGGTTTCTGCTTAGTTCGTCGGCGATCGGAGCTCGGAACTAGGCGGTAGTGCTGTAATGCAAGGATCTGCTAACAGCTTGGTCTCAACTCTTTTACTCTAAGTTTTGCGACCCCCTCTCCAGTGTGCTGGAAGGGCTTTTTAATGAAAGAGGGACAGCTTGACTCATCCTTGAATTATGGGATGTGACCATATCTTCTTCAGAGACGTCTAGCTGTTCCTCGATACCATGAATGGTCATTCGAGGGATTGTGCTTTATGTCCTGTCACCTAAAATGGGAAGGCCCATCCTTGTATATGAGGCAACGGCCGTCTGCTATCCGAGTGGACTTGACCAGCATTAATGAACCGCATTTATGAGTTCACAGATTGATGAGGCGTCTGTCCGATCATTCGTACTGTATGTGACCGTCCGGCGTGCTTTGAGCACGGTACTTCCTCCTTTCTGGTCAGGAGAGGTGGCGAAGTAGGTGTACAGTACTCGAGTGGGTCTAGCCAACTTGCCGAGTGCCGGCGGATCCAGCTCTTGACTCAGACAGCCGAGGTGAGTCGCATTTATGAATGCTCAAGTTGACTCGACACCTGTCCAGGCCTTCGTGCTGTTACTACTGCGAGCGGCCGTTTGACGGTCCTGGGGTACTGTGCTCTCTCTCCCTTCGGGTCGAGAGAGATGGGAAGGTCCATCTCAGCACGTGGGGTAGCGGATACCCAGCTGTACTGACGGTCTTGGGGCTTGCTGGCGGATTCGACCCTGAACTCGGGCAGGCGAGTTGGGTGAAAGGCGAACTTCCGCCATCCTGATCGATCTTAACTCGTGCTGGCGAGCCGACCGTAAGGCGAACCTGGAACCGAGCATATCTGACGTCTATGCGATTTAGGCCCGTGCCAGAGAACTGAGCGTGCGAGCTCTTCTCGCAGGCGAAT